TTTAGAAGAAGCAAAAGCTGTGCATGAACACATTGTAAGAGCAACGAACACCCTTTTAAAATCAGCACCTACAACAAGATCTTAAAAACATATTCACAATGTGGCTCTATGGATGATGCGTTTAATGTCTTTAATAATATGGAGCAACCCAATTTGACATCTTGGGACACCATGATAACAGGCCTTGCAAAGAATGGTCTAGGGGAGGATGCCTTCGATCGCTTCTCTTGATTCAAGCGAACAGGACTAAAACCGGATGGTCCGATGTTCATCGGGTTTTTTTTTTGCCTGTATTGGTTTGGGTGATTGTGATGAGGGAATGTTGCACTTTGAATCAATGATCAATGACTATGGGATTAATCCGTCCATGAAGCATTATGCGAGTATAGTTAACATGTTGGAAAGCGCAGGGTATTTAGATGAAGCACTGGAATTCATTGAAAAGATGCCAATGGAGGCAAGTGTTGATGTTTGGGAGACATTGATGAATGTTTGCAGAATTCATGGGAATTTGGAGCTTGGTGACCGATGTGCTGAGAAGACTAAGTTAGGCCTTGTACCTGTTAAAGCGTCGGATATTGTGAAAGAAAAAAAGGAGAGAGAGTACCATGACTTTCAAACAGGAGATACATCTCATCCAGAGAGTGATAAGATATATGCTCTTATTAGAGGTTTGAAGGCTCAAATGAAAGAGGTTGGTTACATTCTGGAGACAAAATTTGTGGTACATGACATAGACCAAGAAGGTAAGGAGGAAGCTCTTCCTGCTCATAGTGAGATACTCGCTCTATTGCAAGGTCTCCTCTGTAGCCATGCCCGTGCTCCCATTCGGATAGTAACGGACTTTCGTATTTGTGGTGATTGTCATGCTGAAATGAAAATAATCTCGAAAATTGTTGGTAGAGAACTCATTATACAGGCTGAGGAGAGATTCCACCATTTTAAAGATGGATTGTGCTCCTGTCGGGACTATTGGTGACCACATTTGAGTCTAAGGTACTCAGTTAGCACTGTTTGAGTTGGTAGCACATCCAAGAGGCCAGAGACCAATTGAGGAATTTTGTGAGGAAAGATTTTCTTCCCTGTGTTCATACACCATGTCCAATTAAATAGATTTTTTTTTATGCATTTAATCAGAAGAACAGGAAAACTTCAACAATTTTTTTTCTTTTTAATTTCTTAATGTTTTGTGAATAATGTTGACTCTGTTTGATCTTTGCTTCCACTCAGCTATAATATATCTATATGTATTTTTCACAAAAATTCGGTGCATTTGAATTTGGTTGAATTTGAAAGAATTAGCAACTATTAATGAGAAAAATTGCTTCATTGAGTTCATAGTCTTAAGTGTTTGAATGGATCTAAAATAAAGTCATAGACAGAAGTACTGTTGCATTAGTAAATTTTGGATTTCAAACACTTTAATGCCTCTAAGCATAGTTTCTAATAATCATTCTTAAAACTGCCTAATATTTTAAAACTTGAAACACACCATTTTATGGGTTTTAGACTTGAAGAATGCAAAAACATATTATAATTTGTTCCAATTAAAATTCCCTAGAACCAATTTCCCGGTAACAACATACACTCACATGCAAAAATCATTGGCCGATTTAAGGAATTATTGCTTCTGTGATCAAGTTGGTCAATCCAAAAACAATGGGCAGGAATTGATGGGCAGCTCTGTTATAAGAGGGCAGCTCTGTTATAAGAGAGCAGCTCTTCAAAGCTCAAACAGATTAAGAAGACCAGAAATTAATTGAGAAGTTGATTGAGAGGCATAAATTTTTGTTGAGGAAGGAAAAAACCCCAAGTCAATAGCAAACTTGATCTATACCTACTATAAATACCATAGAATGTTTGTTTTTGTGTGTGCCTTGTATGGGTTCAAAACTTTGATCAATCAACAGTAATTTATTATTTCTGATAATGTTAATGATCAATTTATTGCTCTTCGTTACATAATATTCGAACATCAAACCATACAAGGATTTGAATCCACTTCTGTAATACTGTACTCATCTTGGCTTATTCTCAAATAAAACATTACTTCAAATAGATACTCACCTTTGAACAACTTTCTTTCTTGGAAAAGTAAAGCACCCAACTCTCTACAATGAAGCTCACTGCAACCTCTGCCATGCTTATTTTAATTACTTTTCAAAGTCATTGGGTTGATATCAAACCAAGTTGATTTTGATAATCTGTATGTAATAACTTGGATTTAAAGAAAAACACAACCGATTACAAAAATAGGAGAGAAAATTAACCAAGTGTTTCACTTGCCAATCTTGAAGCTGGTTCAGATTTGAATTGGTACAAGTAGTCAAGTTGCTCATGCATCATTAGGCAACAGGGACTTTGTTTCGGGTTCATAAATTTGATCATCACCATCAGTATCTATTTCAGCATTGTTATGTTTAGCCTTGAAAATATCACAGTCGTGGCAAAACCAATCACCTTCAGGTACAGTAAAATAGACTATCATCATTGGTGCCCTAGCACACTACACTTCATATGAGCATAAGGATCAAAAGGCCCAACTGTTGCATTTCCAAAATGGTGGTAAACCTGCAAAACTAAAACATATTTAAAAATACAGTACTTATAGACAAAATATATTTGGCATCCGAGGAAAAAACAATATACTTTTAATGTCAAATTTGGATTAATTAATGCCAAAATCAAGCATTGCATCAAACTCTTCTTTGATGTCCAGAACATACAATTTGGCAACTACAATATACTTTTAATGGTGGTAAACCTGCAAAACTAAAACATATTTAAAAATACAGTACTTATAGACAAAAAAAACAAAATTGGCAACTGAGGAAAAAAAAATATACTTTTAATGTCAAATTTGGATTAATTAACGCCAAAATCAAGCATTGCATCAAACTCTTCTTGATGTCCAGAAAAATAAAATTTGGCAACTACAATTACCTTTAAGGCGTTAACCATGCCAAAATTGATATGATATACAAACTGAATGTTTTCCAGGTTGAGCAGTTAAAAAAACCAAACCAAATTGTAGAATATGCAACCACAGAAGACTCGCACCCTCCCTTTAAACAAATAAAAGACAAATTCAGTGCAATGCTGTTTCAATTTTTCTTCATTTTTCACCAAGGATTTCACCAGTTAGGACTATCTAAGATATGGAAGTTATGTAATCAAATTTATCAGATATCAATTGCTCAAGTAATTAATGCAGATAAAATTACATACTTGAAAATACATACCCACATATGTTATTCTAATTCATTTGGAATGCTACTTCTGTTACTACAAATTTAATTAGTATGTCACCTTTTTTTCACTACTCACCACAGAAGAAGGCTTCCATACAAACTGAACTCTTGAGTCTTGAGAGCTATCTCAAAATAACCAAAACTGGAGCACTCACCATCTGTCACCGCATCAACCTCAGTCCACATGCCTTTGGAAGTAAATATATAATATATAATAATATTATATTATATTATATATATATATATATATATATATATATATATACTTCCAAAGGCATGTGGAGGGATGCGGTGACAGATGGTGAGATATATATATATATTTGACAGAAGGATTTGTTGCAAAATTTGTAGGTTCCGTTCAAAGGAGTGTTAACAGCAGCCTCCACCCACTCACATTATCGTGAACTCTACAAAAACTAAGCAAAGCTTCCTACACACAACGTTTGGCTTGAAAGACATTTGCTCAATCATGTTATATGCCTCTTCTAGCCTTCAAACACGACCTAGGAAGGTCACCATGCAAGCATAATGCTCCATCCTTGCTTCAATACCATGCTCTTTACACATGCTATCAAAAACTTTGTAGCCTTCATCAGCTAGACCAGCCTGGCTGCAGGCAGATAATACACAAGTAAAACTAATAGAACAAAGCTTTTGTCCACTCCTTTGCATCAAATGAAAAATCTCTATAGCTTATTTAGCCTTTCCATGCAGAGCATATCTACGCATAATAGCGTTCCAACAAACCAAGTTTTTGGATGACATCATGTCAAAACAAATTGAATCCTTCCACACTTTGCATAAATATCACTTAGAGCCGCAGACACGTAAATAGCATTAGATATTCCTCTTATGATATAAAAGCAGTGAGCCGCCTTCCCAAGCATCAATGTTGCAATACTTCCACAGGCTGATAGCAAGGTATTGTAACATTGTTTGGCTTCATCCCCGCTATCTGCATCTCTCTAAAAAGTTCCAATGCCTCAATACCTTTCCCATTTTTGTGAGAAACCAGCAATCATTGACGTCCAAGACACAACATTTAATTCCATTCCTTGGCTCTGGAATTGCCTTAAGACCTCCAATGCATTGTCAACAAGACCATTCCTACAAAGACCTATAACAAAAGCATTGCAATCACTTACATCCACATTTTCCATTTCACGAAACACTTTGGACATCTTCCATGTACACTCACACTTTCCGTACATATCAATAAGTGAACTACTAACGATAAAGAGTTTTTTCGCTATATCCACGCACCCTTATCGCGCGTAAGCCGCAAGCAGAGCACTAAAAGCTTTCACATCTGGTTGGGCTAATTTGTCAAACACTTTGTGAGCATCCCAATGTTCTAACATTTAATGTATATATCAATCAAAGAAGAGTGAACAAACGAATCTAAATTAAACCCGTATACAAACACCATATGAATCGAAGTCTTGGTGATTTGCATATTGAGACAGAAGTTCTGTTGCGAGATCCATGTCATTAGAGACGCCGGTTTTGAGAACGTGAGCATGCGCTTGCTTTGTCTGTGATAGAGATGGATGGAGTGAGTTGAGGGTATGAAAGGCATTGCATGGTTAACCTTCTAGGTCGTGTTGGAAGGCTAGAAGAGGTATATAACATGATTGGGCGAATGCCTTTTGAGCCAAATGCAAAGCTCTTGTAGAGTTCACGGTAATGTGAATATATGGTTCTGAAGACATGTGGACTGAGGTAGATGTGGCGGGAGATACGAAAGCTATGGGACTAATGAAAAATAGACTCTAAGTATCTCTTCCCACGTGGCAGATAATTAATGGTTTTTTATATTTGAACTCATCCTACGAGAATAATCCTTAGAACACCTGATTATTAATATAAAGTCAACATTCATTATTCTCATTCATCAAATTCTTAGATCCACCATAAACTGCCGTTAAACTCTTCGTCGCACCGCTGAAAAGGATGCCGTCAGGCCGGTATGTATTTTCTATTATTTATTTTTCCTTTTTTTTTCCTTTCATTCTTCGAATGAAAATTTTGCATGTCATTTAAATGTTAAATACCTCTATTTTGTCAGTTATTCTTAATGAGTGTCGGATAGGCTTTGATCTTGCCGACTATTTTGTTTGTTACAGGTTTTGGTGATGTTAATGTAATTTTAATGGCAATTGGATTGGTTTTGAATCTGCAGAACGTGGCTAATTTCGTTATTAAAATCTGATGACTTGAGAGCTTCTAATGAGTTAGTTTGCATGCTTTGCATACCGGAACACACAAAAGTGTTTGTTTTCGCGATTAGAGAACCTGAATCACAATCTGTGGTGTATATACTTTGTGCCCAGAGTTTTTCGAAGAGATGGGCTTTAGATGTCGAGTGTCTTATCAGGAAAGTGCGACCTGATAGTTTTGTAGCTCAAGTGAGTGTCTTATGAAATAATGAGAAAGAGGCGGGTACGAGCAAGATTTGGAGTGTGGCTTCTTGAATTGTGTATGGAGATGGGATTGAATGTGTTGCTAAATCTTTGCCCATAGCTCCTTAAATTGCCAGTTTGGGGCATTGATTCAATATCTACATGAGGCATGTCAGAAAGTGAAGCAGACATATGGCACCAGGATTCAAAAATCTATAGAATCACTGACTTACAGATTGAAGAAAGTATAGATTGAATAAAGTAAGAATTAAAACTCATCGATGATTTCAAAAAGTTTCATAAATTGATGATGAGAGATTAATCTTCTTATGTACAAACTGAATCTAGGTAGGATTAATTTTATTATCATGGCTATCCAAGTTCTAATCATAGAGTTTTTTTGGTGCACCAATGAGTATATATTATCAGTCTTGAGATGGATGGGATTCATAATCCTTGCTTCCTTCTGTACTTCCTTCTGTTTTGCAATATCATGATTTATTGACTTGAAGCAATACCTAATCAATGCAATTAAAGCATAATTGTCTTGGTTTAGCACTTTGTGGGCTTAGTGTAGTTTTTCTTAATCCTACAATGTTTACTTTATTTGAGAAGAAGTGATATAAACTACTTTTGATATTCCTTATCATTGAAAATCCTATCTAGATTCATTTTTTCCAAGAAAATGTCTTAAATTATGGTCGCCTGCCTCACCATTACTAATTGATAATTTAGTTGTTTTCAAGTTCATCGATATTGTAGTTGAATTGTTATAATTTTTTTCACTGAATTCAATATAAATAACACTGTCATTTAATTTCTAAAAGGTATTCTCATAGAGTTGCAATGTTGATGTTAATGGTTTCTTCTTGTTGAATATTGGGCTTGGATCCAAATTGGATATTGGATGGTCATTCATACAGTGATTGCTTTAGATAATCTCCTATCCCTACAATTGAAGTGGAGAAGGGATCAAGTTACTCTTAGATAATTGATGTGGTTATGACTTTAAATTTGGTAATGTAATATGTTACAGTACACAAATAACATTCTATGTTTTATTAATCATATTGAACTTTGTTAAGTTACCATCCCACCCAAAACCTTAAGCTTGTAGATGAGGGCTCAACATTATAGTCCAATAAACTGGCTTAAACATTTGTAATATTATATTGTTATCATGTTGATAAAATTTTGGTGAAATTTATTTTTGCCCTAGTTGATGTTCAATTTGGGAATGTTTGATTCTGTAATGTTTTTCTTGAGGAATGGATATTTTTTTTTGAAATATATATATATGCTCTTGTCTGTGGATTTTTAATGTTGGGAATGTTTGACTTTCTATTTTTTTTTTTTTTTTTTTTTTTGTTAATGGATGACTGTTTAATTTGTTGAAATTATATATGGTCATGTCTGCAGCTTGTTCATTTTGTGAATTCTTGATATTGCTTTGTTTTTGTTAACAGATGGCAACTTTGTTGAAATTTATTTGTGAGAATGTTTGACATTTTATTTCGCTAGCTGAAGATGATTTTGTTTAAATTATCTATGACCTGAGAGTGAATAGGAACATTTGGTCTTGTATTAGTTTTGTTTAAGGAATAGTGATTTCTTTGAAATTTTTATGTGCCTAGTGTGCAGATTTCATTTTTGGAATAACTGAATTGTTTTAGATGGACTTGTATGTATGCATGTATATATTATTTCATTTTATTTTGCAATTTATCCAGTGTGTTAATTGGTTTGTTAGGAAATTTGATAAGGATTATTCATAGTGAATATGGAGAGAGTAGTGAATATGGAGAGAGGTATATTTGGTGTATGTGATGTTTGCATGAGTATAATTTGTATTTGATGTTAATTGTTCTTGGTGTTGCAGTTGAGACAAATGAAGGATGCATTGGGTATTGGTTTGGTGATAATGCTAGCGATGAGATGAAGCAACTCTAAACGTCTCTATGAGGTATGTTTTGTTATTGTTGGCTAGCCTAATTGTTGTTAGTTATGATTTTCTTTCATAACTAGCAAACTCTATAACAATTACAGAGGATAAAAAATCCAATAATATATTAATTTATTGTCTCTACGTAGAACTTGTTATATGGGTTGAATCCAACAACTTCACATTATTATATAATTTCATTTTTTTTTTCACCGACTAAATTGCTTTTTTAGAATAAGTAAACTGAAAAACAATTAAAAAATGACCAGAAATAGAACAATGTATTAAGATATTATCTCCACTTATAACTTCTTACATGGGTTGCATCCAACAATTTCCCATGTATCATTTCAAAGAAAGAAAAAGATGAATTTAACTATTAATATGGTTGGAAAAGTTAACAATTAAAATTTAAATATAGAGTAAAAGTAATGTCTTTTAAGTTAAATTAATTCGATTAATTACTTTCTCACCACTTTAAGACTTCAACAAATTAAGGTAATTGACTTGAAAATTTGGGTTGCTTTCCTACATCTTTTAAGAAAAATGTTATTATCTTGCCGTGTAAAATGTGCTTGAGCTTGTTTTCTTAAAAAAATAAAATGATCAATGGAAAATCATATTCATTTATAATATTTTCGTTGAATTGATTAGATAAAATAGCGACTAATTGATTCAAAAGTCTACAACCTTCATTATGATTTACGAGATATGTGTATTACATGTGACAAGACTATGAACCTAAAGTCTTGATTTCTATTAGACTAGTAATATGTAAAACAATAGAATAAGCCAAATTAATGAAAGAATTGAACTGTGGAAACTTATAAAATAATTATGAAAAATATAGAAAGTGAAATCATGGTATTCGTCTAATAATAAAATTAGAATAAGTAATAATTTTTCTATTGATTTTATCGGTTCCTAAGGACAAAGAGCCATTTCCCCCTTTTGTTTCAGTTTTTTTTTTTTTTTTTTTGTAATAATTTTTTATACCAATAATATATGAATGTTTAATTAGAGACGTAGTTAAGTAGACCGTATTATTTATTTTCAGTTAAAATATATTAAAAAAATATTCTCTCCACTTAAAACTTCTTTTACTGTTGAATCCAACAACTTTCCATTATTCAAAAGAAAGAAATTAAAAATGGAAAATTAATTGCTTTTTGACGGGTCAGTTGTTAGAAATTAATATTTTTTAACGTTAATTACTTTATCTCCATTTTAAAACTTAAACAAACATTGTTACATTGATACAACACTTGGAATAATGTTGATTGTACTATAGATAATGGATAACAGCTAATAAGATCTATAAATCTTTTTACGTGTGCCTTAAGATACACGTTAAGACCATTAACACACAAATTTTGTGATTAGATAAAATAGTCATTAAATGATTCAAAATTCTACAACCCTGATTACGAGATATGTGTATTACATTAGATAAGACTGTGAACCTTAAAGTCTTGATTTATAAGAGACTAGCAATATGTATAAATTTTGTAACCTGAGACATTCTTATGTAAATTTTGTGAGGACCATGCTTGAGTACTATTAGATTTATCTGTAAAAATATCAACACTATTAAATTGCTTCTATCGTAATGAGTGAACTCTAAAACAATTACAGAGGATAAAAAAATCCAACAATATATCAATCTATTGTCTCTACTTAGAACTTGTTATATGGCTTAAATCCAACAACTTCACATTATTCTATAATTTTTTTTTTATTTATTTTCATAGACTAAATTGCTTTTTTCCAGGATAAATACACAGGAAAACAATTTAAAAAAACTAGAATGGAACAATATATTAAGATATTATCTCCACTAATAACTTTTTACATGGGTTGCATTGCATCCAACAACTTCCCATACATTATTCTAAAAAAAGAAAAAAGTGAATTTAACTATTAATATGGTTGGAAAAGTTAACAATTAAAATTTAAATATAGAGTAAAAGTAATGGCTTTAAGTTAAATTAATTTGGTTAATTACTTTCTAACTACTTTAAGACTTCAACTAATTAAAGTAATTGACTTGAAAATTTGGTTTACTTTCATACATCTTTTAAGAAAAATGTTATTATCTTATCGTGTAAAATGTGTTTGAGCTTATTTTCTAAATAAAATAAAATGATCAACAAAAGGCATATTTATTTATAATATTTTTGTTGAATTGATTAGATAAAATAGCCACTAATTGATTTGAAAGTCTGTCACCTTCCTTACGAGATGTGTATCACATGAGACAAGACTGTGAACTTAAAGTCTTGATTTCTAAGAGACTAGCAATATGTATAATTTTTTACAAAATTATTTAGATAAACTCTTTAAATTTAAATTTTATAAAGTACAAAATTTAAAATAATCTTTATTGTTATTTCGAATTGCACCCACCAAATTGCTTCTTTGAGAATGAGTCAACTAAAAATCAATTAAAAATTAAACTAGAAATGTAATAATAATTAAAATTTTTACTCCACTTATAACTTCCTAAATGGATTAAGCCGCTGGTCCAACAACTTTTCATTATTTCTGAACAAATAATGTGTAATTAAATTATTCATATCCACGGAAAATTAAAAAATTAAAACTAAATATATAAATAAAGAGTCAAGTAACTGCTTTTTGATTATGGAAATGAAAAGGAAAGAAAAAATAACGAAAAGAATTAAAGATGGATAATATGTTTCCTTATGGAAGACAGGGTCAACTATTGTTGACAGAAACGAAGACCTATAAGTTTGATTTTATTACGTTCTCATTACTTTTAGACTTCAACAAAAATAAAAAAAACAAAAAACTTGGAAAATTAGATTACTATACTACAACTTTAGAACAATGTTGATAATAAATATTGATAAGACAAGATAAAATAGCTTTTAATTGGTTTAATAGTCTAACATAACCCTTCATTTACGATATATGTATCACATGGGATCGAGAATAGGTCCAAAAGAAGTGGATGCCACATTTTCCAGAGAGTTTAGATTTTTTCCAACAATGATTTGACGTGAAAAGTCGTCCTCAACTTGTAGAGATTTTTATTCTATTTCTTAACACAACCAATATGTTTTTGAAATGTGAATAAACCTGTACATATTAGTCATTACTGCTCCATTGTTTACATTTATCAATGGATATAAAAATGATTGATAAAAATTAAGTTTTATATATTATTTTATAATGTTTGCGTTAATTTAGATAAGAAAAAACTAAAAATTAATTCTAAAGTCTAATTACAATTTACATATGAGTAATGATTCCTTAGTGATTTATCAGTTGGTAAGAAAACTAAACGATTTTATTAATTCCAATTGTTTCTGTTCATATATATATATATATATATATATATATAGTTTTTTACACTAATAATATATGAATGTTTAATTAGAGACGCGGTTAAGTAGATCGTATTATTTATTTCAGTTAAAATATATTTAAAAAAAATTCTCTTCACTTAGATCTTCTTTTACCAGTTGAATCCAACAACTTCCCATTATTCGAAAGAAAGAAATCAAAAAAGCAAAAGTAATTGCTTTTTGAAGGGGTCAGCTATTAGAAATTAATATTTTTTCAAGGTTAATTACTTTATCACTATTTTAAAACTTCAACAAATATTGATACAACTCTAAGAAAAATGTTGATTATAAAATAGATAATGGATAACAACTAATAAGACTCATAAATGTTTTGTGTATGCTTTAAAATTGGGTTATTTTAACGTGTGCCTTAAGATACATGTTAAGACCATTAATAGACAAATTTTGTGATTAGATAAAATAGTCACTAAATGATTTGAAAATCTACGAGCTATGTGTGTCACATGAGATAAGACTGTGAACCTAAAGTCTTGATTTATAAGAGACTAGCAATATGTATAAATTTTGTAACCTGAGGCATTCTTATGTAAATTTTATAAGGACCATGCTTGACTACATTAGATTTATCTATAAAAATATCAACACTACTAAATTGCTTCTTTCGTAATGAGTGAACTCTAAAACAATTACAGAGGATAAAAAAAATCTAATAATATATCAATCTATTGTCTCTACTTAGAACTTGTTATATGGCTTGAATCCAACAATTTCGCATTATTCTATAATTTTTTTTTTTAATTATTTTCATAGACTAAATTGCTTTTTTCGAGGATAAATGCACAGAAAAACAATTTAAAAAGACTAGAATGGAACAATATATTAAGATATTATCTCCACTAATAACTTCTTACATGGGTTGCATTGCATCCAACAACTTCCCATACATTATTCTAAAGAGGCAAGTAATTGGTCTTTGACTACGGGAATAAAAAGAAAAGAAAAAACAAACAAAAAAAATAAAAGATAGATAATATGTTCCCTTATGAAAGACAAGGTAACTATTGTTGACAGAAATGAATGCTTATAAGTTAGATTTTATTACGTTCTCATTACTTTTAGATTTCAATAAAAATAAAAAAGTAAATAACTTGGAAAATTAGATTATTATAGTACCACTTTAGAACAATGTTGATAATAAATTTTGATAAGATAAGATAAAATAGCCTTTAATTAATTTAATAGTCTAACATAACCCTTCATTTACGATATATGTATCACATGGGATCGAGAATAGGTCCAAAAGAAGTGGATGCCACATTTTCCAGAGACCTTAGATTTTTTCCAACAATGATTTCACGTGAAAAGTCGTCCTCAACTTGTAGAGATTTTTATTCTATTTCTTAACGCAACCAATACGTTTTTGAAATGTGAATAAACCTGTACATATTAGTCATTACTGCTCCATTGTTTACATTTATCAATGGATATAAAAATGATTGACAAAAATTAAGTTTTATATATTATTTTATAATGTTTGCGTTAATTTAGATAAGAAAAAACTAAAAGTTAATTCTAAAGTCTAATCACAATTTACATATGAGTAATGATTCCTTAGTGGTTTATTAGTTGGTAAGGAAACTAAATGATTTTATTAATTCCAATTGTTTCTTTATATATATATATATATATAGTTTTTTATACCAATAATATAATATATGAATGTTTAACTCGAGACGCGGTTAAGTAGAGCGTATTATTTTTTTTCAGTTAAAATATATTTAAAAAAAATACTCTCTTCACTTAGAACTTTTTTTATCGGTTGAACTTGAATCCAACAACTTCCCATTATTCAAAAGAAAGAAA